ACTGTGGCAGCGAACTAACCAATCGCAGCTTTGATTTCACCGCACGAAGGCGTGAGTCCGCATGCAAACATTGATTTGATTCCCTCTCTATTTTTAGGGTACTTGTCCTCTACTTGATTTTAATGGTTAGAGTAGCAAAGAGATGTTAAGCCTTCTACACCTTTTTTGGACACTAAAGGCTTTTTGTAATATTCATAAGAATGTTGGAAACATTCAGGAACGCTACATTACTTTCAACATTGCAAGGGGAGAGGAGAGGGGTTACTCATGACAATAATCTTAGCTAAGAAGTCAGATAAATGAAAGAGTCCTAACAACTTTTGACCAGGCTTGCAATACGCACTAGAAAATTAAAAACACACGTGTGTTTAGTCCTTAGGTATAAATCATGATTAACTACCGCAAAAAAATCAGTTTAAGATTTTATTTCCTTAGAACTGCTAGTTGACAAAACAGTAGCAAAATCCCAACACCTTATCTGAGTATGAAATTGCTAGTAAAATATAGTCGTTAGCTCATGTTGTTAATTGTGTGTATGAGGCTTTCCTCCGATACCTGCTTCCTTTGCTAGTATAATGATCAGGTAAAAGTAACGTCCTTAATCTTGATTAAAGTATCATTTTCCTTTATCCAGCATCATCCCAAATTGTAAACTCAGTTACAGAAGGTATGTTTTTTGTCGTTATCACTTTCGGAAGTTTAAAATTTTCTCACACCTCTACATGATAAAATGTTTATCAAATTACCAATTTGATGGAGTAGTTAATTCAGCGCACTGACAAGCAATCAGTGTTGTCATGGGTCAGTTCCTCCTTGTATTCTTTTCGCTTCTCTCTAAGCATCTCTCCTCAGAGTTGGTAAAAAAACTGAACAACTGCTAACGTATTCCCGCGCTTAATGCAGATTTCTAAAATTACTCAGAATACTTCAACGAAAAAAAGCAAATACTTCTTTCTACTCAGCAAGCACCCTTATTGAATAATACTCTCGACATTTCCGGTAATGAGTAGATCATTGAAAAGTCCTATAAACCATGCTTCATTAAACAAGCAGAGTTAACAAAGTTTTGAGACCAGCCAATCTCTTCGTATTGAGTCAAACTTGAATAGCAGATATCAAAGTAAGGATGTTTCCTTTACCAATGCATCATAACTAAGGGGCTAAAGAACTTAAATTTTTTTAATAGTGAAGATAATCTGGAGCAGTTCGGATTTAATTCAGTTTTAAAGGCAAAGGCCGGAAAACAACAACATCGTTAGGCTGGCATGATAATTTTTGAAATCTTCTTGCACTGTCAATTCTGCAATGAAGAAGTCTTGTTGAGTTTGGTGTTATGACTCCTTTTCGTGTTCCCGAAAGGTAGTCTGGTTATTTCAACTTTCATCATTCAGGAGTTATGATATTTAAAGATTCCATCGAAATGTGCATTGCTTTGTTTGGTAAAGGGAAAGGATGAAAGGAAAGGACTTCCATGCATTTTTTTTTGGTATCTCCTACTCAAGTTTTCACAAGATTTGTCAAGTCCGTTCGTTGTCATAGAGCATGTGTTTACTCCTGACTTCTGCTAGCAAGCAGAGTATAGCCAATGGGCTTGTCACGTGACTTCTTAACGATCATCAGCGCAGTTCCTACCAAGCAAGCAGCGCACATCACAAACACAGATATCATGAAGAAAGGACTGGATCCTAAGGAAATAGAAAAGAGAAAATGATGAATAAAATTACGAACTGGTGGAAAATAATAGCAAACCTTCTGAAAGGGCCTTTTGTTTAGAAATCCAAAGAACTACAAATATCAACATTGGTTCCACCACTTGCATGTCAAAGAAACCACAACACCATAATAACACTTTTATGTCATGTTATTTACCATTTTCAGTAAAGGCATTCTCCTTCTTTCTCTCTCGCTTGCCTCGTGCGAGGCGGATCGGGCCCTGGGCCAAAGAATACACGTCATCAGTCACGTGATCACTTACTGCACGTCTACCTCGGCCACTTGATGGACACTTTTTTGCACACTGTGAAGCAGGGTTCGTTGCGTTGCATACAATTACGTGGCAGTGCACGAATACGAATGGATGATCTGCAATGAACTTGAAAGCCTCCAAGCTAAACCGCTGAGCACTTGATGAAGGCCCAGAGTAATACTTCACGGTAACGTCATTCTGACATCTAAGAAAAAACGTTATGCACTGATTGGATTTCAATCCCTATTTCACGAAGTGCCTGTTACCTACATTTATTTGTCCTAATGTGCAAGAGGTGGAGATCAAGTTTATTAAAGATTAAATGGAACCTGCGCACCGATTAAAAAAAGATAAAAAACAAATAAAATATTACCTATAATTATCTTTCACATACCCTTTCTTTATAAATTCGTAATTTACAGAACTTTTCTCATCCTGAGTGGGCGTGGCATAGCATCGATCAGCCATGATTGACAACTTCTTGTCAGTCGATGTCACTGACACTTCAAAGAAGAGAGGTTTACGAAGCAGCACATCAACAGGGAAGTCATCCTTCATGTAAGGACTCACGAATCTTTTGTCACGGAACATATTCAGAGAAAGTGTGAAGTTTCCTTTGCCTTCATCACTGAACCTAAGTTTTGTATTGCTCGGCCTCCAACCAACTGATGATACCACGCCAAACTTGGATAAGTAGCAGCTGAATGGTATTTCTATTTCCCGCACGCGTGTTGCGACGTCCTTAGCGGCCACAGGGATTTCAAAGACTATGTTGGAGTAGACGATAGCTGTCGGTGTAAGCCTGCGTTTTGTGTCACAGCCAGTCAGCGGAGTTGTCAGAGAGAAGGAGGCGTTGGTTTCCTCAGCCTTGCATCTTGAGTCTAAGAGCCGAAGACGCCCACGGTCGCGACCACGGAAGAGGGACTTAGGAATGATAATTGTCATATTGTTGCTGTTGCACTGGACATTGACCCCTGGAGCTTCAGGAAAAAATAAAAGTTTCTTTATCTCTTAGAAGGAAGAAAAGTGGAATGTTGTAGAAAGAGAATCTTACTTTGTCGGAAAAAAGTGGGATGGAGAAAATGATTACTTTAGCAAACGAATGAAATTATGTTACTTCTACCAGTTTATACTAACCATGACATGTTTTGTTATCTGATGATAAGCTTAGCTCTAGGTCTGGACATTCACATTTGTAGCCCCCTGCAATATTGACGCACTCGTGACTGCAGTCACCATTTGACACAGCACACTCGTCGGTGTCTGAAATAAGAGTTACAATCTGAGTGTTGCAAATAAAGTTTATTTTAGTTAAAAAACTGACAGAATAAAGTAAACTTACCCTTGCACGTCACAGATTTGGCACTATCCGTCCATTGACCATTAGCCCCACACTGTTTCTTAGAAGGACCTTGTAAATAGTATCCCTGTGGACATGAGAACGAGCATTCGGTATCGTGTTTCGCCGGTGATGTCACACAATTGTTTGGTGTGGTTTTGACGAGACGACCAACCGTAAGGACTGGACATTCAACTGAAAAAAGGAGGGAATCAAATCCACATGATTGTACAAGCTCCTAAAGGCTGAATTTTTAACGAAATTTATTTCACTCAGTGGTAAGGTAAAGCTTTGGAAAAAATACCATTTTTGTCGATTAGATTCCGTATTTCATGTACAAATACTAAAAACGTACGCTAAACGAGAGAGTTAAGAATAATATAAATTTATCATAGTATTCAGACGAAGGCTTATTTTTGTATTATTCTGAGATGAAAAAGACCAATAAGCTGGTTTCCGCTGGTGCGAGTAAAACAAGTTGATCCAAAGTTGTGATTTAACATGTATAAAAATTGGCAGACGTCCGTTACGGCAATTGTGCAAGCCATGGATATACCACGCGTGAGGTGATGGGGGAGCTGAAAAATTCTGTTAACATGGGCATAAGTGCTTGGAAAGGGGTCAAATAAAGTTTATTTTAGCTAAAAAACTGACAGAATAAAGAAAACTTACCCTTGCACGTCACAGGTTTGGCACTATCCGTCCATTGACCATTAGCCCCACACTGTTTCTTAGAAGGACCTTGTAAATAGTATCCCTGTGGACATGAGAACGAGCAATTGGTATTGTGTTTCGCCGGTGATGTCACACAATTGTTTGGTGTGGTTTTGACGAGACGACCAACTGTAAGGACTGGACATTTAACTGAAAAAAGGAGGGAATAAAATCCACATGATTGTACAAGCTCCTAAAGGCTGAATTTTTAACGAAATTTATT